AGTGACCACAATTTACCTCGTTGAAGTTTTGATATCTACTATAATTGTGCACGATTGCGCATCCTTTAAAGTATCGTTCCAGCTCCAACGGTGGTCGTAAATTACCAAAACTGTCAAAATACGTAATGCGTTTACCATGTTTACTATATGCTACCCAATGAGTGCCAGGGTTAGTGGAAAGGTCCAAGTTCACTACACCCATTTCGATTGTTTTCGGTCCCGACTGAGGTAACTTGTCACGACAGAACACGCCACGAAACACTTTACGATCGAACGCTCGACTACCGAAATTTGCAATTTCAACATCGTACAAGGCACGATCGGGTAGCTGTGAAATTAGTTTTTTGTTTTTTTCTTATGATTTTTTCGAGACGTCTTTTTCTTAGTTTTCGTACTCGCCGTCAATTTGAAACCAGACCCCGATTTGTATGGTTGCAGGTAAAATCCTTTACCTATGCTTATCGCTGTATTGCCTTTACGGTTAATTTCGGTAGCCATCTTGACCACATTTGCAGCACCGCCGGCTAAAGCTCCCAACGCCGACAGTCCGGCAAATATAGGTATAAGCGGTAGTACACCGCCTTTAGTTTTCGGAACGTTTATGGTACGGGGCAGTGGAATTTTTTTCTTTCTCACCACACGCCGTGCTGCCATCAACGATCGTTTTGCCACACTCAATAAATCCATTTGTTGAGCATTTTTATCAAGTTTGGCCGCACGCACGATTCGTTTAAAACCCATACCGAGTTTACGTTTCAATTTCATTGCGTTGGTCACACTCCAAGCTGCGACTCGTTCAGGCAATTTAGCGTCTTTGGCCAACACTCGTTCCCAAGCCCGATGTTCCAACACCTTATCCGCTTTATGACGGTCCTCGAGATTCTTGTATTTACTATAAATGATATCGTGATTGCGGCAAGCAGCATCAAGCGGGTTCACTCCAACGTCACCTCGCTTTAATCTCTTTTCTAACCGTGTTCCAGGGCCCGCAAATTGATAACCTAAATGGTAAACATTTAAAATAATGATAAAACTATTTACAAAGAATAATTTTGAATAATTACATACACACACAGACACATACACACCTGGAATGTGGGCTTCGAATGGTAATTTGTTGATTACACTGTTCAATATCCCTGCACCTTGTTTTCCACGTTGTCTCTGTTTAACCATTATTTTCATATTGACGGTAATGGTTCGATGACGTGCGATGCGTTTCAAAAAACAGACCCTCACGCTACCTATCGTGAATTTTGAAAAAAGTAGTGATATTGCATCCAGTAAACACGGTAAACTATTGCCAAACACAATACGTGCATTGATTTGCGGACCGTCAAATTGTGGAAAAACAAACTTGATGTTTACCCTACTGACCGATATCAACGGACTTCGATTTGAAAATGTATACGTTTACTCAAAATCGTTGCATCAGTGCAAGTATCAACTACTCGTGGAAGTTTTACGTGGTGTCCAAGGAGTGCAGTTGTTTACCTATGAAAACGGGGAAGATGTACCGTCGGTGGATAACATCCTGCCCAATTCTGTTTTTATATTCGACGATGTTGTTATGGAAAAACAAAATGTAATGTGTGATTATTTCGCGCGTGGACGTCACCGTCGAGTTGACGTGTTTTTTCTCTCACAAACATTATCACGCATACAAAAACAAATGTTACGTGACAACACAAATTTGGTGGTGTTGTTCCGACAGGATGAAGTTAATCTACGGCACGCGTACGATGAATACGTGTGTTGCGATATGAAATTCGGCGAATTCAAAGAGTTTTGCAAACATTGTTGGAACAAAGACCGGTATGGATTTGCAGTGATTTGTTTAGACTTCGCGCGTGACGGTGGTCGGTATAGATACAAGTTTGACACATTTGTGACGATATGAGTACTATTAATAATAGAATTCGTGAAGAAAAAAAAACGTTGTTGAAATTATTGACGGAAGCCCGGGAAAATGTTCGAAAAAAGTACACGGAATTGCATCGTGGTGAAGCGGATTCATTGAGTCGCGTAAAACGAGAATTGGCACCAATCATTGCACCATTGGATAAAATCGTGACACAGCAACAGCAACAGCAACAGCAGCAGCAACAACAACATGAACAACAACTACAGCAATCCATCAAAAGTTTAAATGATGATAGATACAATATGGAACATGATGATGGGTTTTTCCATCAGTACATGCACCAATGGTCAATGAACCCGAACAGAGACAAAATGTATGGACCAAAAGTGACACCAGAAGGAACATTGACAATAGGTGGAGTCGACAATATCTTTGTCAATGGAGGAATAATCAACGTACTGGAGAAAAAATTCCTGCTGACATTAGGTCTTGTGGACTTACTTTTTTCGAAAAATCCCGGTGTTTACTCCGAATCGGATTTGCAGGCATACAAAACAATTTTACTCGAAACCGGTGTACATTTGAATAAAGACGGAACATTAAAAAAAGGAGGTCAAAAATATGTTAACACTATTAAACCATTGTTTGAAAACAATGATGGTGGTAGCGCAAACAATTCCTTACCATTATTTGAAAACAGCAGCATCAGTGACACATCTATTATCGGTGCGGGTCTACAGTTAAGGTTGAACAACAAGAAAAAAGAGTATGTGTACTGGGACGAACCCAACGAGCTCGTAGATCGTTTACGTTTATTGATATCGGTCCGGTCAGCTGGTAACAATGGAGTTGCACCGGAAATCATTTCTATATTGGAAGAGTTGCAGGAAACCGGTTACATTGAACAAATACCATCAACATTATGAATAAGAACATTGCCTATGAACTACATCAGCAGGCCCGTAGGACGTACACCCTTGCTCGAATAAATATCAAAGGTCTCGATGATGTTTGGCATGCTGACCTCGTGGAAATACGCGCATACCCCGATCGACATCATCGGTATATTTTAACGTGCATCGATGGATTTTCAAAATATGCGTGGGCCATTCCGTTGAAAAATAAAACAGCCAAAGAAGTTACTGCTGCCATGAATGGAATATTAAAACAAGGTCGTCATCCTAAACTTTTGCAAACGGACAATGGTAAAGAATTCTACAACAAACAGTTTCAAAAACTGATGTCACAATATGCAATCAATCACTATTCAACTTATTCCACTATGAAAGCCTGTCTCGTGGAACGTTTTAACCGCACGTTGAAAAACGCAATGTGGTGCGATTTTAGTGAACGTGGTTCGTACAAGTGGGTGAATCGGTTGCCTACGCTGTTGCACGAATACAATAACGTGCGTAAACATAGAACAATCGGAATGATACCGGTGCAAGCTGTGCAAAACCCCGACCTGGTTCGACTCAAGTTACGCAAAATACCCGATAATTTACCGATAAAATTCCACGTGGGTGACAAAGTTCGGATTAGTGTACATAAANTGTGGGTGACAAAGTTCAGATTAGTGTACATAAATCAGTGTTTGACAAGGGTTATTTGCCGAACTGGAGCACCGAACTATTTACCGTAGTCAAGGTTAGACAATCAGTACCACCAACTTACTATCTAGAAGACTATCAGGGAAATCCAATACGTGGTGTGTTTTACACCGAAGAGCTGAACAAGACCAGTTATCCGGACATGTATTTAGTCGAACGAGTGTTGCGAACACAAGGAGATCAGTGTTACGTTAAATGGTTAGGATTTGGCCCAGAACACAATTCATGGATACCGAAAACCAATATCTTACCTCAATGATTGTCGATATACAAGGTATTGTAGCAGCTGACCGATCGTTTTTGGTCAAGGAACTGACTGCTATTGCCATAGACTGCACTTCTTTCGCCCATTGGATGTTCAAACATCCAAAAAGTATCAAGGAGGATGCTAAAACAAACTTTTGGTTGAAAAAATACCTACATGGAATGGATACACGTTGCGGGGATGTGGAATACAATGAGTTGCCGAGAATAATGAAACTCTTGCGATGCGAAACCATTTACGTGAAGGGAGCTGTAAAAAAGCAAGTAGTGGAAAAGTACATACCAGGACAACGTATAGTCAACGTAGAGGATTTGGACTGTCCTCCTCTGTACAATTTAAGTTGTGNATAACCAGGACAACGTATAGTCAACGTAGAGGATTTGGACTGTCCTCCTCTGTACAATTTAAGTTGTGTTACAAAACCATGTTGTATCCGACACATGAACAACCCAAATATGTGCAGTTTATATAAGACTATATGTTTAAAACAATGGATGAATTATAACATGTAACGCTATTGTATTAAAAAATATATATATTTATATAAACACGAATACTTTATAATATTCATTTTTATTTCTACAATAAGTATATTTTTCATAAATAAATTATAAATTAAAGATTATATAATAAATTGACATATATTGTTAATAAAATACTAAATACAATAATATATTTTATACAAAATAAATTGTTATATATTTAAAGAATAATGTCCCCACGCTTTTGTATATACATTTTTATACTCAAACTCGTCACCGACTATTGCACGCTTGTCATAGTTGTTGGACAATGCGAGTTTCCTCGTTTCTACCGTCAAAACATTGTGATGTTTTGAACGTATGATGGAAATTTTCTTGTGAATTTGTTTTAGTTTATTTCGCAAACAATTTAAATAGTCAACCATATTTATTTCATGTTTCACTACACCCATACTAATACCCTTCAATCGCTTCACTTCTTCTTGCCGCAAAACGTTTTTATAATTTTTGTAGGCAATCAGGTACGCATAGACTTTGGGCAAAAGTGCAACAATTTCCTCCATATGCATACCTTTACATTCGTCGGTAAATGTACCCGGTTGTTTTTTACGTTTATCACTGTAACATGGATGATCAGTGGGATAGTTGGAAGTGTCGAAGTATTCAAACAGATATTTTTTCAAATCATCCTGAAAACTATGCGTTAATATTAAATAAATAAAACTGTCTGTATCCATATACACGAGTCTAAGTCTTGCAGGATCATAAAATGGTTGCATTACATCATAATGAAACTTGTACATGATACATTTACTAATATCCAACACGGCCTGTCCAATAAAAATGGGTTTAAAAAAATTAATTTTTTCTTTATACATGTGTACAGCTACAAGATTTTTTATTAAATATTGTGGTGTGACCAAACGACGGTTTCGCTATCAGTTTTGATAATTTATCATCGTTACAAACGAGTTGAATATTTTGATGTTTTTTCACGTTTTCCAATGTTTTACCTAGTAAAATTAAAAATTTTTATTATTAAAAAAATTAAACGTATAAAAATATTAATATTACCATAGTTGGAGTTGATCATATATTTTGGTAGATCTTGTTCAAACTTGTTGGAGGCTTTTTTACGTAATTCTGTATTAATTTTGATGTAGGGTGCCAACCATCGAGATTGTTTAAACTTTATGACTTTATGCAGTTTTGTGATAACCACACCGTGTTTTACCGCTTGCTTTAATGTTCGATAGTGTACAACGTAATTACGTTTTGGAAACAATGTGGTCATCAGTTTTTTGTATTTGGCAGACGGTAGAGGTGGTCGCTCGTTTACCGGAAAAAATGGTAAATCGTTGTGTAAATCATGTAAATGTTGTGGATAATCTACATCGACTTGCACAAGATATCCATGATCAGCATCCTCAGCTGTGTCAAGTATTTCCTCCAATGTAACAGTTGACCATTCAAAATTACCAAGTGGCATCGGTTCCATCATTGCTTAAAAAAACAAATGTTTTTTTACACAAATATTAATTTTTTTTATTTTAAAAAAAAAACTACCTGTTCCATATAAATTTGTAGCATCTAGGTATTGAAGATATTTATGTGGAATATTGGGATTGTAGTCAGAGATACCTGGATGATTTGCTCGAGCATACCGCTGATTGACCTATATTAAATATATATATATAAATATGTATATATTTATAAATATTATTAAACATATTTTTATATTTTTAATAATCACACATACTTGTGTCAAACCTCCACGTATACCCAATTCAAACATTAATAACATATCTGGGTCTGTTATCAATTCAATGTTGACATCAGTATATTTTAACATAGCATCAAATGATAGGGCTGGACATGAGTAATAATGAGTGGGATCCAGAGAATAATTTTTTAAACTCTCCGCGCGAAACTTTTCAAATATGTCAGCAAGTACCTAAAAAATAAATGTATTTATAATTGTTAATTACTAAAAAAATTAACAACATACCATAACGTCGACAAGTAAATACTTGTCACTATAATCACCAATAGTTTTGCATTCAAAGTGTTGCCACATTTTTTTTGCATGTTCATAGTCCTCTTCGGATACTGTATTTTTCGTAATGGAACAGTAAAGATTTTCGCGGGTTGGCAACTGATTTTCGTCGAGTTTTTCCCAACTGTCTACGTATTCGTATGGGAAAACCGATTTCCGTGTGACCAACTCCAACGATTTAAAGACATTTAATGTATGTGCAAAATCAGGTAAAGTCAAGGTGGTTGTAAGTTGATACAAACTCGCTTGCAAAAATCGATATGAATCTATAAATCGAAGTTGAAAATAATCGCTTATTGTCTTACTGAACGAAATATATTTTTCTTCGGATTGTGCTATAACAGTAATGTCTTTATTGTCGTAAGCCATTTCTGGTATTATCATGTGCGAGTCATAGTTTGAAAGACCATGCATGATAACTGGTATGAATGCGGAATATCGTCGTTGTAAATTACATTTGTGGCATAAAACAGCTCGAAATTTTGCCGTCCAATGATTATGATCCTTGACTTTTACTAACTTATCGGTAAACTCTATTAAACACGAGTCGCAATGTTTTGTGGTATTGAAACGATGTTGTTCCTCAGAAGTTAGAGGATTCATCTCGATGTTAATTTTCATGATATCTGATACTTGTTTTCCAATATCCACCAACGCTGATACAAAATGTTTAGCAGCANACAACACTGATACAAAATGTTTAGCAGCATCAGGTCCTCGATACATTACTGGTTCCTCCGGTAATCCCTGACACATGTTTTGCAGTAATATTTTGGAGTTGCGTACTAAGTAAAAACAATAACTCATTGGTTTATGTTTTTGTACAATCATAGACTTGTCCGATATTTGTTCCATCGTTCGAACAAGTAAACTTTCTATATCACCGTAGATAACTAATGGTATTGCTTCTTCTCGTCTTGTGTTTTTAAAACATAATATTGAAAGATCAGAGTTAGGCTGTGGTAGAACAATGCGAGCCTCCTTGAATTTTCCACACATTTTTACANAAGCATCCTTGAATTTTCCACACATTTTTACATGTTCTTTAAGTCCCTCTTTCCCACTCGGACGAGTTAATAACGGTTGCTCGTTAAATACGCTGAGACATCGTTTACAATGATATTCTTGTCGTTTACTTTTTGAGCGTTGTTTTGATACAAGCCTTGAAAATTTTGAGATGTAACAATAGTGGTTAGTTTCATTATTTTTCAAGTATAGTAAATCAATATGATCTGTAGCGGTTTTGGATTTAGTTACACGCAATGGAAAAACAATGTTTTTATTGTCCAACGCATACACATTTACCGATATTGTAGGATTTTTTCGTTCGAAGCGATTAATTTGTTCAATTGGTGTTGGAAAATCAATACCAAAAAAATCTATGTTCAAACGTTGTTCTAATTCAACATATGCAACATTCCAATCACTTATTTTAACTCTTTTATTGTAATAACATAAGATTGACCATTTGAAACATCGTTGATCATCGTTTTTAATATTTACAACAGCCTTTTTGTTTTTTATACACGATGGTAATTCAATATAATTCCCTTCAGTGGGTTCAATTTATGTACTCTCAACAAAATACCATCAATTGATATTAGCGACCATCCACTTTGCTTGATTTCCATTTCTTGTTTTTCAGTTTCCAACTTTAATGTTATTTTTTCCATTACTGATGTAAAATCGGTTCCTAAGTCTACTGTTTTATTGCGCGACTTGAATGATACATCTTTGAACTCACCAGTTACAGTATGAAAGTACGTTGTATGTAGTAAAACATTGAATTTTACCATACCCTTTACAGTTAACATTTTTAATAAATTTATTATTTCGTGATTTATTTCAACCATGAAATCGACAATGTCATCAACAATTGTATTATTTTTCAAAAAAAAATTTCTTACACCACCTTTTAAGGCCGAATTAATTTTTTTGAATCCTGATCCTACTAAGCCCATACACTGTTTTTTTGTAACTTTTACCATATTTGAGTCCGAACTATGTGTTGGAAAACAGTTTTTTTTAGGTTTTCCTACAGTGCAATAAATTGTTGGTCTATTATTCAAATTATTGTTGCAATGTTTTTGAAGACTATCGATGTCCCCGAATATTGCACCACAACCACAAACTGTATCAGACATCATCATTTATACAACTAAATAATGAAAAAAGTATATAGAGTAACATTTCATAGTTTTTTAAATATCATTTATTATGTTATACTATGAAATTTTTTTTATTTGACGTAAAAAGTATATTTTTTAAGTTTATTTTATAATTTTAAAATTATAAAAATAGTTTTTTTATTCATTTTCCTGTAGCTATTATATTAATACTAATGATTGTACCAAAACCTTTTTTTTCTTTTATACTTTATAATCTCTCCACATAAATTAAATAGATTTATTTTTATTATTATATATATATATATATATTTAAATTTGTAACAAAGTTTTAAGCTTACAATGTGAAAATATCTACAAAATCAGATTATAACATTTATACAACTAAATAATGAAAAAAAGTATATAGAGTAGCATTCCACAGTTTTTTTAAATATCATTTATTATATTATATTATATTATGAATAATTTTTATTTTTTAAAAAGTACATTTCTCTTTAAATAATAGTTAAACCTTCAACAAATTAATTTTCTACAAGCAAAGTAGTACTAATGAAATAATCAATTATATGTGTAGACAGTTATTTTAAAATTATAAAAATAGTTTTTTTTATTCATTTTCCTTTAGCTAATATATTAATACTAATGATTGTACCAAAACCTTTTTTTCTTTTATACTTTATAATCTCTCCACATAAATTAAATAGATTTTTTTTACTATATATATATATATATATTTAAATTTGTAACAAAATTTTAAGCTTACAATGTGAAAATATCTACAAAATCAGATTATAACATTTATACAACTAAATAATGAAAAAAAGTATATAGAGTAGCATTCCACAGTTTTTTTAAATATCATTTATTATATTATATTATATTATGAATAATTTTTATTTTTTTAAAAAGTACATTTCTCTTTAAATAATAGTTAAACCTTCAACAAATTAATTTTCTACAAGCAAAGTAGTACTAATGAAATAATCAATTATATGTGTAGACAATTATTTTAAAATTATAAAAATAGTTTTTTTTATTCATTTTCTTTTAGCTAATATATTAATACTAATGATTATACCAACATTATTCTCTCCACATAAATTAAATAGATTTTTTTTACTATATATATATTTAAATTTGTAACAAAATTTTAACCTTACAATGTGAAAATATCAACAAAATCAGATAATACCATTTATATACAAAATATTGAAAAAAATGTATATAGATTTGCATACCAATTTTTATATCATTTGATATATTATATTATGAATAATTTTTATTTGGCGTAAAAAGTACATTTCTCTTTAAATAATAATTAAACCTTCAACAAATTAATTTTCTATAAGCAAAATAGTGCTAATGATATAATCAATTACATGTATAAGATATCATTTTAGAATTATAAAAATAGTTTTTTTC